TTTTTTGATTTTTCGAACATTTTCAAACTTTTCCAAATTCTCCCCACCTGATGCCTTCCAGATCTGGTCTCTGTCGGACTGTTTGCTATGTACTGTGTCTCTCAGGATCGAGGTCGTTGCCTCACATGGCCTGAGACGCGCTGTATGAAAAGAGCACGTGAGGTAGACACCACGTATTGTAGTCGGTTGTTGCAAACATCGAGGTAGTCAGCAACCGGGTGATATAGAGGCCGAGGCCATCAGAGAGCGGATGTGGCATTCATCGTGGTTGGCATGCGTTTCTAGGGGAGATTTTTGAAAAAATGTTAAAAATTTTCAAAAAATCAAAAAATGCTTGAAATTGTCTGAAAAGCGCACAAAACCAGAAATTTTTTAAAAATTTGGTAAAAATTGTAAAGTGACACGCAGTCTGTGAAGAGCCCAGGTGCGGCAGAGACCGAGACGGAGAGAGACAATTTCTGCCACACACGCAGTCTTGCAAGGCCGGTTGTCTTCAGTCTGTATGTCAACGACATACCCACACCGTCCCGCCACGTCGAGTTAGCGCAGTTCGCGGATAACACGTCTCCCGTGGCCACATCCCCTAGTCCAACGTTTCTCGTGAGCTATCTGGAGACCTACCTCAGTAGACTGGAGCTCTGGCTCAAGGCTTGGAGGATTGCAATCAACGTCTCGAAGTGCACCGCGGTTCCCTTCTTTAAGACTGTGAGGCTCACCCATCAGCCCAGAGCTGTGCAGTTTCTCTCACAGCCGATTCAATGGGTCAAAACAGAGCGGAATCTGGGGGTCACCCTTGACGCCGGGCATACCTGATCGGCGCACGTCAACCAGGTGGGAAAGAAGGCGTGCTAGGCCCGCTCCTTAATAGGCGATGTGGCCTGTTCATCAGGAACGATGTGCTGCTCTATAAGCAGCTCATCCGTCCCATGATGGATTACGCATGACTGATCTGGAGGTCAACTGCCCACAGCCACGTCAGGAAGCTGCAAGTTCTGCAATCCAAGTGTCTTGGCATTGCTACTAACGCGCCTTGGTGCGTTAGTAAGAGGCAAATACACGAGGATTTGGGTATCCCGCTCTTTGCTGACCACATCAGAGCACTGACCGTGAGATTTGACTCGAAGTTAGCTGGTGTGGGGAACCCCTTAGTTCGGCAATAGAGATCACCCAAGGGAAACCGAGGGACGATGTCCTGCGCTTGAACAGGACTCCGACCTTAGTTAGCTTTTTGGTTAGTTGGTTGGTTTCGGTTTGCTCGATCCGTTCTCTCTGTGAAGCTCTCTCTAACGGTGCGTCTCTGTAAAGCACAGTTAGAGAAGAGGACGGGTGAGGCTGATACCAAATACAGCAGAGAACTGGTGACGCAGAGAGGGTGCGAGACTGAAGGAGTCTGGCAGAGTCAGAGTAAGGCAGAGATCGTGTCCGCCACATGTAGTTTGAGCAGGTACCTGGTCAGCCAGAGACAAGTTTCGCTGAATCAGGGTAATGCAGAGATCGGTTCCGGTATGGATCACTTGAATAAAAATTTAAAAAAAAAATCAAATATTTCAATATTATCGAAAAATCAATAATTACTTGAAACAGTTTCTGAAAAGCGCACAAAACCAAAAATTTCGAAATATTTAATAAATTAAGTCAACATTTTTCATTTTTTTTTAGCTTAGTTCGCTTAGGGGACAATTTCCAGCATTTTTGATGTTTTGGAAATTTTGAAATTCCATATCTTCCTGCAAACTCCATTTTAATTATAGCAATTTTTGCCCAAATTAGAACATACATTTCTGAGCCTAAGACAGGTATATTTACAACGCATATTATGTTGTAGGTTAATAGTTAGAACTTCCAACAACATTTGCCAATCTTTATGCAAAATTTTGATAAGCGTACGACTAATAAAGGAGCAAACATTTAAGCTGTCGTAACAACAATCACCTTAATTGCGGAATAAACACTAGATTATGAGTCTGGCAGATCTACCTATTCACGAGATGCCAGTAACTGCCCTCGTATCTGCACTTTACATAATTAGGGTTAGTGAAGTTCATTATTTTATACTGTTTGACTAAAAGCTGTAAACAAAACAGATGAGATATTTCCAACAAAATGATGAACAACATTACAATTCCTTCTTTGACTGTCAGTCTCCTATAGCTCTTAACCGTTACCACATTCGCAGCTTACTCATTGCCCTGATGATGGAGGCAGTAAAGACCTCTGAAACATCGGTACCCTACTACCAGACACAGAAGACAGCCATCGTAAGACTCACCATCATGAATACCTCCAATCCTAATTATAATTATTATCGTATTATTAAATGGATTGCATTTTGTACACTAAAATATTTAAAAAGAATTTTTTATTATTTTTTTTTTTTTGGTTTTCAAAAGTAAATCACCAATATGACAGTAACAAATAATGAACCACTGCATATAGGCATGTGAAATTTGTTTTGAAAATTGATCATAAACTTTAAAAAACAAAACTGTATAAAACACATCTTTGCATACATATTAATATATATACTAACAGGTTGACGGAGAAAAATTTTAGATTCAAATCTGGTGAAATTGATGTAACAATCATGTATATTAGGATGCAGTACGCAAATAAATTTTATAATTAAAATGTAAAATTATTAGTTCGTAATTACTTTGTATATAGATGAAAAGGGTAATGGAAAATGAACATCATATGTTCTCTCACAAGTACCACATTACTGAATGGTTTAGAGGTTACCATTATTTAATTTTGATACGTGTTCTGAGAAAGCCGTTTGGTGGGGGACTGGCCAAAAGCAAGGTCTGTACTTATATGAGAGAAAACAAAAAAAGAGACACAAATCCAGAACCCTGACAGGGATTTTAATCCTTAATCCTAGAGTTTGATTTGTCCAAAATTGTCTTTCGATCCAGTTACCATTAACACTAAAACCGAACTATTCAGAATAAGAGTCGGATTTCACCGAAACGTTACCGATAAATCCGGGTATAACAATTTATTTATAACACTTATATTTGCAAAACTTTTACGAATGCTGGAGACTGTCTCAACATTAATTCATCTTATTCTATTCTATTTTATTTTATTATAAATATGTTTACAAATTATAAAATAAATTATACAATAAATACAAAATTCTAAAAACAACAGCTAAGTAAAAACCTCTACAAACATAACATTTATCATAGACTAAGTTGGTCTTTTAACAGATATTAAGATACTTATTTGACTGTCAACATATCTTTCAGACCATAAATGCAAAATTATAGTGGTTCACAATATTTAAGAAAGAGCAGACTATAAAGATGAGAGAATAAGAGGAAAAGAATGACGGATGACGAGAGGCATATCAAAGGAATAATATAAGGTAAGTAAAGGTGAAAGATATACTCATTCTCTCCTTTTCAAATTCCTAACTGCTTATTATTCAGGATCAAATATCTAATTCATATAAGATTCTCAACTTAAAATGTCAATGAATAATCAACCAATCAATAAATCTATCAATGTGTCATAAGAATTAACCCACCTTTAAATTCCAAATAAACAGAAAAAAAATTAAGTTCTAGAATATGATAAAATGCGTCCTATTATCTATGTTCTTACCGATCTCAAGAATTATGATAAAGTCAATATCCAGGTGAGAATATCTTTGTAATTACATTATAATAGTCCTACTGCAGGTTTGAATATGATTTAGAAAGAATCTGTGATCAGAGAGACAGGTTAGAATTATCCCTGTCCCCATGAAAATAAATACTTTATACAGAAAAACTAAGGTATTCAAAAATCCCAGAAACCCAGATAAGGACTAGTTAATATTAGGATTGGAGACCGCAAATAAGTTGGTGCGGACATATCTGCCATGTCTATCAGCGTTTGAATACTCAAAATCACATATCCGAAATTGTGTATTTTAGGCATGTGGAAAAAAGAAATTCCTTCTGCCAAGTTAGAGAAATTTCCTGATCATATATATTATTATTATTATTATTATTATCAAGAATACTGATGAACATTATCTTTATATGATTTAAGAAATTCAGTTCTTACTTCTAATAAAACATATTTCAGCTCTATTCAAATAATCATTAATTACTAATGTTTAAGAAATAAATAGCTGTTCACTCTAAAAACTGAATTAAATTTAGTAAATACATTTACTGTCTCGGTCAAATTCCAAATTACTCGACATTAACTTAAATAGTACAAACAATTATTACTACTATTTCAAGAGTTAACATAGCTGGCATATTAATAACAATGAGATTTATTAATTAAATAATAATAATAATAATAATCCGTGGCGTAACAGCTCCAGAGAGCCAAAGCCGAGTATGTTGACTGATGACCTTACGTTCACACGCCTAAGCAGAGGTGAACGATCATCCAACCAGATACAGGGTGACGTGTGGTCAGGACGACGAACCCCCAGCCATTGCTAGCTTTCCTGACCGGATTACGCTACATATCGTAGCTTCCCAATTTCCTCACGATGCTGGGTTGGCACCGGTCCCATACACTGGTCGAAAAGCTCATGAGAAAATTTCTTCTCCCCCGAGACTCGAACCAGCGCGCATTCCGTATCGCCGGTCCGAAGCATGATGCCTCAGACCGGGCGCCTACGGCGCGGGAACTTTATTAATTACAAAATTTTTAATATTGACTTTATCAAATTTATTTTAACCTATATCCCCTGAGCTAATTATTAGATTACCTCTCAACGGTCTCCAACTGAATAACCACTGCAAAAGCTGACACTTTGTCCATGAGCATGGCAGATTTGTTGTTTCATGAGCTGTGTGCAATCCACCGTCTGCGAAGAGAAGAAAAATTTAAAATACATTTTGAGCAAATATTTAGAATGTAGGCCTACTATTAAATTCAAAAAGTGTTTACCATTTTCTACTTTCCAAAATATTAAAAATTGTATTGCACAACCATTATGAGAGTTTTCTGTAGTGTGAATCACGTTTCCTTACATTGAGTAATGACAAAATATAGATATTTGAAAACAAAGTAGTAAGGAAATAAGGCTATTTGTATCTAAGAGAAGCGATGTAAATCAACAAATTAAAATATAACTTAAAAAGCAGCAAGACCAGTCTTACAGATATGGATTGTGAGGCTGTGAGATTGAAGGGCATGCCCCAAAATCTTGTAGGCCTACAATGGCAAGCTTTGGTGTTAAGGTTCTGAACCTTCGTTTTCTACTCTTCAGGAGTCAAAGTAAATGGTAAGTTGAAGATTTCTGTCTTCTGGGTTGTTGCGCTGTGTAGTCTGGTCGATGTGAACCAACGTTTCAGAGGTCATACTGCCTCCGTCATCAGAGTATGAAGATTTCTGTCTTCTGGGTTATTGCGCTGTGTAGTCTGGTCGATGTGAACCAACGTTTCAGAGGTCATACTGCCTCCGTCATCAGAGTATGAAGATTTCTGTCTTCTGGGTTATTGCGCTGTGTAGTCTGGTCGATGTGAACCAACGTTTCAGAGGTCATACTGCCTCCGTCATCAGAGTATGAAGATTTCTGTCTTCTGGGTTATTGCGCTGTGTAGTCTGGTCGATGTGAACCAACGTTTCAGAGGTCATACTGCCTCCGTCATCAGAGTATGAAGATTTCTGTCTTCTGGGTTATTGCGCTGTGTAGTCTGGTCGATGTGAACCAACGTTTCAGAGGTCATACTGCCTCCGTCATCAGAGTATGAAGATTTCTGTCTTCTGGGTTATTGCGCTGTGTAGTCTGGTCGATGTGAACCAACGTTTCAGAGGTCATACTGCCTCCGTCATCAGAGTATGAAGATTTCTGTCTTCTGGGTTATTGCGCTGTGTAGTCTGGTCGATGTGAACCAACGTTTCAGAGGTCATACTGCCTCCGTCATCAGAGTATGAAGATTTCTGTCTTCTGGGTTATTGCGCTGTGTAGTCTGGTCGATGTGAACCAACGTTTCAGAGGTCATACTGCCTCCGTCATCAGAGTATGAAGATTTCTGTCTTCTGGGTTATTGCGCTGTGTAGTCTGGTCGATGTGAACCAACGTTTCAGAGGTCATACTGCCTCCATCATCATCGTCCACCCTTCTATTGTCTTCCCTAGTCACCTTCTTCCAACCCTTTCTCCCACATCATTCTTGATATTCCTTGCTTCCAAGTAATTTTAGGACTTCCCAATTTCTATCTTCCTTGTGGATAATACTCTTAATACATTTTTAGCAAACCTGCCATTTGAACTGCTTGATTTTATAAAATCTACATTAAAATTCTGTACATTCATTTTTTTTTTCCTAATTTCGTGCATTCTGGAAATCCTGGCAGAACATCGCCAAAAATCAATTTCTGCTGAAATTAATTTTGATTCAATCTTTTGCTTTAAATGCCATGTTTCTGCCCCATATGTAATCATACTCTTTAACTATTGCATTGTACGTATTTGTTTTTGTCTATGTCGTAATATCCTGATCCAAGAAAATAAATTATAATACATTGGATTAGACGTGGAAATATATGTCCCCCTTACAATGCAGTGTCCCACCTAGCATTATCGAAAGATTACCTCCAATGGTGGACGGTCTAGTAAAGTCCTGCTTTCTCCTAAACCCCGACAGATTCCCCCAATCTTCTGGCTTGCACCAATTTGTTGATGTCCTGATAAGTCTTTATCATAGGAGGATGAACGCTGCTGTTTGCGCTAGAGGACGTGCAACCTGGATGCAAATGAATACAGTCCGCGCCATCTTGGCCGTCCTTGGCTGCTTTCATGTAACGAAAGAATCGTAGAATCTCTGGGTTGTCTGTCGATGGTTTTCTCAACTCATTCAACTCTCTGAAATTGGAAACATTGCTCGATTAAAATGTATACATAATATGGCTAACATATAGACTGAAAAACAGGTGTGTATGTGCTGTTAATAAGGGGATCACACCGGCGAATAATTTATTTTTCAATTGAATAAAAATTTACTTGGATATTATCCATCGTCTAGTAATAAAACGTAAAAAAAAACGTAAAAACGTAAAACGACGTTTTGGAGATGGGGCTCTATCTCAGTCTTCAGGTTCCTACTCAGTTGGGCCCACTAGATAGAGCTAGACGGAGATAGAGCCCCATCTCCGAAACGTCGTTTTACGTTTTTTACGTTTTTTTTTTACTTTTTATTACTAGACGATGGATAATATCCAAGTAAATTTTTATTCAATTGACTCTTCACCATCGTCAAGAAGTTTTAAATTTATTTTTCGTTTTCACATTTGAAAGTAGGGACAGGCAATATGGAAGCATATATTGATTTAAGTGTCTTGATATTTTGGTACTGATGTATTGCCTGTACTGTATGATTTCTGTGAAGATATCAAAGAACTCGAGACGATAAACGACAAGTTAACACGGGGTTCGAGCTAGAAATAAACAGACACCAAAGGCAGTGGTAAACGTACTATTGCGACGTGGTTATTGGTTTAGGTCTAGCGTCGAAGTAGGTCAGCCAAGTTGGGGGCCCCTTCCATCTTGACGTCACTGCATCCAATATCGGTCAATGTGTCGAGACAGCTGTACCAGCTCAGAGGCCTCACCTCGTGCGTCGACTTTTGGCACCCAAACGCGTACATTACAAAATGTGTTAGCGGATGTTGTATCGGACGTGTTACGGAGTGGCACACAGGCGAAGATGTGGGCTACTTGTGGTCCAAAGAATTAACAGTAATCTAAAACCTGAACCACTATTTAGATTTTCTGACTCCAGAAATAAATTCAGGATGGAACAGGGGAGGATTAAACTTAGTATCAGGTTATATAGTGACGCTGCTTCAACTGTGTATGTTTCAGAAGAAATTTGAAGGAAAAACACTTGGTTTTAAAATAGGGGGATATCCACTGCTTGTGTGACTGAACAAGGAAGAGTTTAGAACATGCTACAAATATGAGGGAAACATGCAACAGCTGACGTTGTTAAACCTCAGACACAGATGGGAAGATATGTTAGAAATTTATTGTAAATGTACTTAGTGTGAGGTCGTGGACTACATTCGTCTGGCTGAGGATAACGTCCAATGACAGTATCTTGTGAACATTGTAATGAAAAGACGGATTTCATAAAAAGCGAGAATTTCTTGACTATTTGAATTACTATAGGCAGTTTCTGCATCATGAAATTAGTTTATAATAAGGCCTGCAGAGGTTGCGAGGTGTCGGATGTCCTTTCTCTCCCTTGTTCTATCTGTCCATCTTCATTTCCTAACTTGCTTCCTTTAAATTTATTATTTATGTGCTATTCAATTTTAAAAGCAAAATGTCGTTCCTATGTTATTAGTTGAATTGAGTTGAATTCCACGTCTGGAATTACTTATTTAAGTATCAGTAAATTTGTTGTTGGTTTCTTTCATGCAGAAAATGTTCTGCTTAAGATTTACGCCTTACATATCCGTGTTAGAGACCTTGACTTTTTAACACGAATGCTTAACTGGGAATCCTCTAAGTGAAGGACGACTCGAGCTGGACTACTTTCGAGCTTGAGAAGAACACATCCTGTACATGTTCAGTTCGGAACTGAACACTATTCGGAATCTCCAGAAAGCACTTGTAAGCGGAAATGAGTCGACCCCATTTCTCACTAAGTGTGAAGAATGCCTTGCCCTTCTGTGTAACAACGGTTTTACACTCAAAAGTTAAAGACCAACTACTCTTGATATGCAGGGCCTGCCCAATGAATATATTGAAGGGCTGAGTTCAATTTGGCGGTCCAAAGGTAGCATAATCATAAATTATTTGAAAATATTAAAATTACAAAATCCTAATAACTTCATCAGAATAGAACCAATAAACTTTTCTTCAAACCACGACATTTGATAAACATAACAAAATCTTCTGTCATTTTTCATACCTAAAATTAGTCTTGGTGTTTATGTATCGTAGACAAAGTGAGTTTTTTAAAATAAAATAACGTTATCATCTACACTCAATACAATAAATTATTATATTTTCTTGTATTTTATGAACATTAGACACATTAAGATGTTTTGAGCTAGTTTAAAATATATGAAAACAATTAACTTGGGATTTACAGTAAAGTACTATGAATAATAGCTAATAATTAAGCACCAAACCTAAATTCACCCATAACAGAAAATTTTATTAAAACTCGTTGCATAGTCCAGAGGTAAAACGTAAATGGACAGACAGACACGCCCCTCCCATAAAGAGATTGTTCCTTCGTGCTTGAAAGTCCAGTTTTCTGGAAATTGTAAAGCGACGCCTGAATTTCCCGGTTGAGTTGCTGTCCAAGTCAGCGTGGCGAAACGGTAACTGTCCGATTGGTTCAATGCACCAGTCAGCGAAAACGATGTTAAAGCTCTTAAGCTACGTGAAACAGTTTTCTTAGGAGCGATTTGGACCGATACACAAACCTTCTTATGAGCCGAGGTAGCTTAGTCGGTGTAATGACTGACTACGAGCTGGACGACCGGGTTTCGATCCCCGATGGGGCATAGGAACATTTCTATAGCCTCTGCGTCCAGACCGGCTCTGGGGCCCACCCAGCCTCCTATCCAATGGGTACCGGGGTCTTTACCTGGGGGGTACAGCGCGGCCGGGCGTGACGCTGACCCATCTAGTGCCGAGTTTACGAATGAGTAGGAGCTAACATCTGCTCTCCCCCTGAGCGTCTACATGGCCTATAGTGGGACAGCTTTATTTTACATTTTACAAGGACTGCTTATGGTCGTATTAACTACAAGTTCAGTCGTTCTTAAGAACCTGAAACTTGCTCAGATGGTTAAGAAATTCTTCCGTTTTATGAGACTCAATGGTTCATTACCGTGTTATCAACAGCCCGGCACCAGACCCTATCATCAGCCTTATGAATTCAGTTAACATCTTCACAACTCAGAAGACCACAATCTCTTGATCCTTATTTATATTATTTTCATATTTAAACCTCGGTCTCCTCATTTGAATGTTCCGACCATTAACCTCGTGGTCACTCGTAACCTCTTTATACGTTGCGAGGGGTATAAAATTACGCTAACCGGATTACGAGAACACTGACCGTATCGGATTATACCAAAATGAGTACGTTTAAAAGCAGTAGGAAGTTAATGCTAGGATAAGTCCATCAGGAGGACGTCCTTAAATGACCTATGTATGAAAAGAATGTCAATGAAAATAAAATATAACTATTTTCTATAACCCCTGTGTTTCTGTTATTAGGCCTACTGTAATAACAAATTCCGTATCGTACAATTTTCTGTTCACTGATCCATATAAATGGAACGGTTCCTAGTTGGTCTTTCTACAAGCTATTGAAGAGTGATTTCCCAGAATAAGCTAAGTCAAAAACAGTATTTTTTTTCAGAAAATGAGAAAACCGTCTATCTGCAAATTAATTTTATGTAGGAAAAACGTTTGTCTAGAACAGAATGATACTGATATTTTTTTTTACTTCGGAAAAATATTTCCTCTTTCCCAATTTGTAAATATTTCAGTTTGTTCCAGACTGAACTAAATAAGTTGCCTTAGAACATTTTGGAAGAAAGGCATAATTCTAAAGTAGCGGACTTATTATAAATCGCCAGATATCTGTGAAAATATTAATTTTAATGTATGTTATAACACAGAATAAAAATGTAACGTAAAATGGAAACCACATCAAACATCCAATGTAATATACACAAATTAATATTGCAAATTAAGACCACATTGCTAGGAAGACAGTGCCTTAAACCTGAACCTGCCTGTAAAAAATGCATTAATTGTTTCGCTGTAATCTGCTAGGATAATCAGAACACAAAAACTGCATTAATTGTTTTGCTGTAATCTGCTAGGATAATCAGAACAGCTATCATGAGCGCTGACTTGTCTCAGTACGACCAAAATGGAAAATTCCCTGATTTTCTAGTACCAACAACACGGAATGTACAATTTGAACAGAATATGCGTGGATCCGTGCTTTTAATAAGTCTACTTAGACAGATGTTGAGTCTGTATTTTCAAATGAGTTAAAAACAGTCTTTCTTCAGATTTTTACCAGCTGACTATTAATAATCGTTCTGCCATGCCAGCAATAGCGTTTTAAAATAAACTAACAATAATTCAGTTCTTCAAATGATGTCTTCGCGTTAAGTTTGTTGGCCAAACTTTTCCCTTATTCACATTACATATATTACCAGCTCATATATCTGTTTGGACTCCGTTAAAAGGATTCCTATCAAATATCTAAAAGAATTTATAGTTCCAGAAATTAATTTTAAAATATAAATTATGAAGCTCTTGATTATGAATTTGTCTCTTATCATTTCATCTTTTTAGAGCACATGCGTTCTAATCGACAGTTTATTTTCAAAGTTTTGCACCAACTTAAACATAAAAACCATTGCATTTCATGCACAGATACGTTCAGGAGGAACCATTATAAGAGCCATTAGAAACGCAAAGGATTGTGATATTATAGCTACACGCTTTCTAAGACGTCTGTGTTCAATTATACGAGACTAAGTTCACAATCAGTTTTATATTCAATTCTTCTGCAGAAATTCGTAAACTGCACGGTAACGGTCAATGAAACCGTATGGGTGTGTTGTTGGAGATAAATCTTTTTCCTCTCGGGATTCAAATCCCGATCTTCCATACCTTTGACCTGTACCAGATTATATAATAGGAAGTCACACCTGAAGAAAGGACTGGAATACTGTGATCCGATTCCTAAAAGGGAAAGATTTTTTTCTTCGTCAAGAAATGTAGACAAATTTAGGGTTTACCTAGTCTCCTGTTCACTGGGTACAGTGGTTATTTCATAAGGGGTATACAGTAAGCGGAACATGGAGCTCAACATTCACTTAAAACTAATGCCTAGTTTAAGAATGCGCGTAGCTATGCTACCACACCTCAATACGTGGTACATGACGTGGTGCTAGGTTAAGCACCAGGAACAGTTTCCCCTTTAACTTACAACTCTACGTTTTTAAATGTCTTTCTTATCTAGTAAACACCGGATACAAATGAAGATGGCTGTCTTCTGGGTTGTTGTGCCGTGTAGTCTGGTAGAAACATGGACCTCTGAAACGTCTGTAAACTTCTACCAGACTACACAGCGCAACAACCCAGAAGACAGAAATCTTCATACTCATAGCCCTGATGATGGAGGCAGTATGACCTCTGAAACGTTGGTAAACATCGACCAGACTACACAGTGCAACAACCCAGAAGACAG